ATTGAACCATGGTTGAAACTGCAAGGAGCAGGAGCCGGCCCCGGATGTGAAGATGGAGGATAGCAGGTCGGAGGTGGAAGCCACCCAGGGCTCCCAGGAGACAGCAGCAGAACCAGAAAAGGAAATCCCAGGCCAGAGTCCAGACGCTTCGGCGGAGACTGGACAAGGCGTGAAACCAGATGCCCCCTCCGCCCCTGCCAAGCAAAGGTCGGAGGAGGACGAGGAGAAGTTGCACGAGACGGTTTTCAAATCCGCGGAGGATCCACCATGTGACTTCATCCTGTTGGAAAACGACACAGTTTCGGATTCAGGCTATGGGATCCGAATTCGCAGTTTGTGCGATGCAAATCGGAGGCTGCCGAAACACTGGGTGGTGACCGTCTGGCAACAGGGCAAGCTCATCCGTGTCAACAACGAGCAATTCCCCGAGGAGTGTCTGAGGTATGAGGTGGCAATGACTGACATCGTCATCGATATGACGTCGACACCCAAGGCCGCTTGCTCACTGAAGGAGTTGGTGAAGGCGCAGAAAGTAACAAAGGTTCATGGGTACAAGGATTTCCCACCCGACACTGTTCCACGCACCCGGGCTGCACTGTGATTTCTGCATGTGTACAGGTTGGAGGGCATTGAGTCACTGACCTTCATCCGTTTCTGAGGACAGTTGGTTGCAGATGGATGCAACTACTGCCTCATTGACTGTGAGCCGCTTCATTACAAGATCGCAGAAGCCATGCATGAGTTGTCCAGCATCTGTTTGGCTTGGTGTTTTGCAAAAGATCCCAAAAACGAGAGTAAGTTGTCACCCTGCGGCTATGGAGTAGTGTCGGTCAAAGGCCGTATCATGCAGGCAAAAGAGGTCATAGACCTGTTTACATGACATTCTTCGAGTTTTGCAGAGTGCCAGCACGGGTCAGAGGAGATTCATGCAAACAAAAGCAAGAGGAGGCAAACATAAGTGGCTGTTGATCTCTGTAACCCTGCTGTTGCTGGCCTTTGTGAGCTTTTTGGAACACCAGCAGTACTGCCACCGGTACAACTGCTTTTTAATGGTTGCGCAGGGCACGGCCTGGCCATATGTGCAGATTCATGGCATGGCCGGCCAGCATGTCAGAGGAGGATGTTTGGATTAGGTTTTTCCCATGAGCAACCATGAAGGTATTATATTATAATCCAATGATGTAACAACGACACCACAGTCATATTAACTTTGTTTAGTCTGAGCTGGCCGGCCTTTCAGAATGTCAGGTCAGAGGAGTATGTTTGGACCAGGTTTTCCCATGGTTGCACAGGGCACGGCCTGGCCATATGTGCAGATTCCTAGGTCAGAGGAGGATGTTTGGACCAGGTTTTCCTTCGTTGGTCCGAGTGACATTGCTCAGATGTTCATTCATCGGCAGGGAAGAAAATGCACTACATGTCCGTTTGAGTGAGCCACATCATGATTTTTCATGTCCTCATATTCTGCTGCACATTGTTCAACCCAGGTCAGTGCTGCTGGGCCGTTCGTGCAGACCATGCTGGGAGTCGGAAAAGATGATGTGCAAGGGAGGGAATCTTGAGATCCACATGACACTATATGTTTGCTAGCAACATCGACCCCAGATTATGATAAATTTGCCAGCAAAACGACCCCAGATTGTGATAAAGGCCTCGCTCTTTTGGCGAGCCCTGTCCAAACCCCAAAACCCCTGAACCCCTAAACTCCAAATCCCAAAACCCCAAAACCCCTAAACCCCAAAACCCCTAAACCCAGGAGCTCCAAGAGGCCGAAGGCCGCTTGATCCACGCGGAGGGCTCCGCCCGAAGGGCGGAGGCCGCCCGGCAAGGCGAGGCCAGCAGGCCGGGAATTAGATTTCAGCTATATACTACTTGGAGGATCATGGGACTTAGTAACTAGGGTTATAAATAAGGTAACTACAATTATAACCCCAATTGGGGGACTTATAACCTCAGTTACTAAGTCCCATGATCCTCCAAGTATGTTACTATGCGCTACTAATGTATTATAACATAACAACATACCAGAATGGTGATATGTACATCTACTGTAGATTTTTTCTCGAAGATATCAAGAGTAGCTTTTTTGATTAGTCTACTATAAGATATATTCTAAGATTTTTTTGGGGGGGTTCGGTTTCCGGATTTTGGCTCGGTGTACACAGGTTGCAGGCTCCGGGATCAATGTCCAGGCTGTTACGGGGGTTATGGCTGGCCATATAATCTCGATGACACTGGGGTCCTGCGGTGCCGGTTCGTAGCAAACTCGATGGAAGCAGGTTCCTCAAGTGAATCTGTTCTGGTCGTGGTTCATCAGACCCCATCTGGCACATCAGTTTCTGAACACACACACACACACACGCACACTCCTCCTGTCTGCTTCCCTTTCTGCGAGCCTGCACATGTCTGCATGAGTGCATGTGCACGTAACCCTCATCCTAAAGATGTGATTTCTGGGTATGAGGTCGGAGGCACTCCGGAAGCAAAACTCGCGGCGGGCTCAGATGGAAGTGACATTGAGGTCCCGGGTTTGGGCTGAGGTTTGAGTCCACTCATGCTGCCATGCCAAGAAGCCACTAGCAGGGAACGACGGACGGGTTGAAGCTTTCGGCGTGTCTTTCGGGATTGTTAACACATATCGCGTGCCATTGCACCAAGACGTGAGCTTAGGAAGCTCCGAGAAGAGGTTGAGCAACTGGAAGAGCGCTGTCGAGGCGGGCCAGTCGTAGCCTTATAAGACACTTAGAGCCACATAAGGGGGGTGCAAGATTTCAATTATTTTGCAGCAAAGTTGCAGAAATATTGCAGATAGATTTTGCAGATTTTTTTGCAGCTTTTTTGCAGCATTTTTTGTTTTTATTTTTTGATTGCAGATTTTTTTTTTCGATAGTGGTCCATGGACTTCCGGTTGTTTTTCCATCCCAAACTCATCTCCTGGGTCCTTGATGGCCCTATGTAGGTGTTGTATTTGCACAGGGTCCATGCATCACGCCCGTGGGAATCATTAGAGATCCGCATTAGGCAACCAATTGGAGCACAGAGATATATGTGGGTTTGCATCCTAGAATCTAGGGCCAAGCAGGCACTCCATCGAATCGAGTGAATGAACTCATGTGCTTCTGTTGCTTTTCCAGAGTACGTAGTCACTCCATTCGGATTGTGCCAGAACAGATTGGCTTGCCAACAGTTGTGATTGCATATGAGTCAAGTTGAGTCTGAGTGACAATCTTAAAGTCCATGCTGTGTTGGGTCTTTGCTGTTTGCTGTTCGGGATTGTTTGGGGCTGGGGTCAGTGAGTCAGTGACAAAGATGTGCACAAAATCCTGTCACGTTTGTAATCGTTTTTACCAGGAACTGTTTTACTGGTGCATGGTCATTCTGCTCGAATGGTGCCCGAACCGAATTGCTTGTGAAGTTTTGCTGCGTGTCAATTAGTTTGGGTCCCAAGTTAGAATATTCTTGGGTATGCAATCACTATATTGGAGGTGAAATCAGTTGTGAAACTGCGGGATTTGCAGGGGGCTTGGGGGGGAGCTGAATACAAATAGAGGCACTACGATTTTGCGCAGCAATCCAGCAGGTCTCGAATTGAATTCTTGACAAGATTCAATTTGAATTATTTCACCCTTTTGAGAACTGTGCCAGAACCTGCTGTCGGTGATGGGCTGGCGACAGGGGCTAGCGGCTAGCGGCTAACAGCAAAATTCAAGCTTTGCATGCTTTGTTCAACATTCAGCAAACATTCGACTTTGTCCCTGAGTCCTTGAGGTGTCGAACCCATTTGCTGATGCATCCTCCCTCCGCTCAAAGTATATTAAGTATGTATGCCCAGGGAACCACAGCCAGTGAAGGTTTGTGTGGGTTCCAACAAGCTTTATATGCAATCAGTGCCATCGTCCCAGACGGCTTAGGCTGCGAGAGAAGGTGGCATAGCAGCGACATTCTAGATTCTAGACTCTACACTCTACTCTCTAGAATTGCATGCGGCCAGCTCGCTGGTACGTAACTGCAAAACAAGCAGCAGGGGTACAGTATCTAGAATCTAGTTTCGCCGAGCTATCAGAGTAGCTTGTAGCGAGAAGGTTGACAAGTTTGGGCAGTTTAGGTTTAAATTTTGGGCATGTTTGATTTCGTCCAACTTGAGTTTTTTTCAAGTTGCGCTCCATGTTGCACAGAGTTTGTTTGGTAGTTGAGGCTCTCAGGTGCTTCGCTGTTTTTTCTGCACGTTAGCGTCTTCACAGGGTCCGATGCCATCACTATGCCAGACAGTTCATTGCAGTCACACATCGTGATACCCGACGCAGACAGGGTTGTGACATCTGCTGTTAGTAGGCTTAGTGGCTTAGTAGGCCCTTAGTAGGCCATCCTCGGGCCCTCGGGTTCTCGGTCCTTCTGGCCGTCCTGGCCTTTCGGGGGTCACCTTTAGCTGCTGACTGACGTAACAAGATTCTATACTGTATATTCGAGAATCTGGTATTCTAGACTCTAGACTCTTCGAGAACCTGGATTCTAGAACTTAGGCTCCTAGACGGTCCTAGGGTCCTAGACTCAGCTTAGAGGCTTAGAGACTTCGAGTCTAAGTCTAAGACTTAGAAACTTAGGCTTCGAAGTGAGGCAACCATGCTTGCGATTCCATTATTCCATTACTGCCCTTCGCATTCTAGCTGCTAGCTGGTTCCAATGCTCAAAGCATGTTTCATAGCTTGTAGCCCGTGGTGCGGTCAGTGTGTGTGTGGAACGGACCTATATTGGACTTGTATATGGGGCACATACGGAGCTTAAAGGCTTCCTACGGCCCACAGCTCGGTCCACTAGGTCACTAGGTCACTGGGTCCACTAGGTCACTAGGTTGGGCCCTGGCATGGTTGGGACATCGTTCGGACGAGAAATAAAGGCTACTAAGTACGGCTAAGTCGGCTAAGTCGTTAAGTACGGTATAGGGTAGTCTAGGGCTAGGGCCTAGGCATAGGCATAGTTGCAGTTTTTTGGCTGCTACAGCCATGGCTGCCATGGCCACGGCTGTGGCTGATACGGCTGGCAGCTCTTGGGACGACGTTTTGAGTGATGAACTCAAGGTTCAGGACGAGTTTTGTGCCGATGTTGAATCTTGTGATGTGGTGCGGACACCTAGCGATGGTGACAGTTCGGCCACAGCCAGCTGCCACTCCAGCCAAAGGCAACCCTGTACCTGGTGGGCCGTTGTTCTGAAAGCTGCAGGGCGTGAGCTAGGCTACACTGACTGTGAGACTGACCCGCCTTCCTCGCAGAGTGGCAGTGTTCGTCTAGTTTCAGCTTGCTCTGGCTGCAGCGCTGAATCCTGGGCAATGAAGGCCTGCCGGCTTATGCTGTGCCAGTTGTTGTGGGTTGGGCATGTTCGATGAGTCAGTGTGTGTGCGGGTCCGATCAGTATAGGATTCAGTAGGAACTCAGTAGGGACTGGCTGGGTAGCAGTTGCAGCAAGGTAGCCCGTGTGTGTGTGTGTGTGTGTGTGTGTGTGCGTAGGGCCGTAGGGCGTAGGCGTAGGCGTAGGCGTAGGCCAGGCCAGGCCAGGCCAGGCCGGGTCAGGTGTGTCAGATAATATGTATATAGTGTGGAGTAGAGTGTAGAGTCTAGAGTCTAGAGTCATGCAAGCCAAAACGTCAGAGCAGGATGTCACTGCAGCGGCATAATCAGTGGTCAGTAGCTCAGTAGCTTTTGTCTGCAGGTGTAAGCAAAACAAGGTGGGGTAAAGGTCCATTGAACTGCATTGCAAAGCCTCCAGACTGCGGACTCTAGTTTCTAGTGACGTGTTTCTAGTTTGATTCTAGAGATTCTAGATTCTAGATGGGTTGTGTCGTGGTTGCAAGCGCTTCATTCATTTTTAAGTCTTCAAGCCCACCAATGCCCAGTGTATAGTGAGTATAGTGTAGGGTAGTGTAGGATCCTGTGCGATCTTTTTGCAGGGGCTGGGCATCGGCTTCCACCTGCTGGCGGCATGCGATACCAATGCGGACTACCGACAATTCGTACGGGCCAACTTTCCAGGGGAGTGCAAGCATCTCTTTCTTTCTTTAGAGGATCAGTTGACCAAGGGCACCGACTGTGAGATCTGCTCAAACAACAGAACCACATGCGAGCACCATGATGCCAGCCTGCCTGTGGACATTTTAGTCACTGGGTCGCCATGTGATCCCTTTAGCAAGTACCGATACAAGCGGTTCAGCGACGGTAGCGTAAAACACCACGCCGACTACCAGACCACGATGACGACAGTGGTGACACTGTACCAAACGTACCAGCCCAATGTCGCGATAATGGAACAGGTCATGGGGTTCTTGATGCCGCTCCAGACTGGGTCCAAGGAGACGCCGTGCCAGAGGCAGGGCAGTGCCACAGAAGCTGTCTGAGCACGGGTCCGTTTTCATCATGCTAGCTAGTCTGGCCGCTAGATTGGACTATTAACTAAAGACCTGACCTAGGACCTAGGACCTAGACCTAGACTACCTAGACTCTATAGACCTATGACACCTATGACCTAGACTCTAGACCCTAGACCTAGGGCCCTAGAGTAGAGTAGAGTCTACCTAGAGTCTAGGACCTAGACTAGACCGGGACCTAGGACCTAGGACCTAGACCCTGACCTAGACTTGACTTAGACCTATGAAAGGACTAGATTACTAAATCAAGTAGATTGCTGGATGTGGCTTCAGTCTGCTCTGGTTTGGGAGATGCAGTGCTGCAGAACGTCTGTCAATGTTCAACGTTCTCGGTCAAGACTTGAGCAAGTTACCTAATCGCTAGTCGCTAGTTAAGTGGTGTTGTTGTTTACGTCGTTGTTGGTCTCAGTTTTGGGTTGGATTGAAGTTTGTTGCTTTGCGAGTCCAGATGGGAGTTCATGAGAGCCCGCAAGGGCATGTGCGGAGTGCTGCCATTTACTGCAGGCCCAGGTAGGGTAGGCCTCGGAAGCTGGGTAGGGCAGGCCCATCACCCCTAAGTCCTAGGTCCTAGGTCCTAGGTCCTGGGCCTAGGGCCTAGGGCCTATGGCCTATGGCCTAGTCCCGCGAAGGTCCCAAAGCCGAAACAAATAAGTTGAAGGTTCCTTGAAAACCTCGCCGCGGGGCACAGTGGCGGTGGGTACTACTACGTGAAGTTTGAGATGGATGCCGCTTTATGGTTGCAGATTTCAAGACCGAGGCGCATCTGACACAAACTCTCATGTGGATGCTTGCTGCTGTAGACTTGGGTACAAGATTTCAGACTGTAAGGTGAGGGTGTGTTGTTTCAAGCAGCAGCAGCAGCAGCAGCATCAGCAGTAGCAGAATCGACCACGACGGTTCCATGGCTCTTTGTTGATTGCACTTGGGCTGATGATGCAGTGTGTGGCTCCGGCCAAATGGTAGCTGCTAGCTGGTAGCAGCCTGGTAGCAGATTGCAGGGACACGCACGTGTCATGGTTTTTTGCAGAAACTCCAGTTTTGCAGAATTGGCTCTATAGTAGTCTGCAGTGTACAGTCAAACCGTGACAGTGTTCCATGTAGACTCTGTAGACTGTTTGACCCCAGGTTCCAATCGCAGGCCCTGGCGAAAGCTTGCACATGCCCAGCTGTAAGTGTAAGGTTTTACTGAGGCAGTCGTGCCATTTCTTAGACGTCATTCGCAGGTCCACCCGCATTCCAGTGCCATGGTGCGAGATTTCTTGCAGAGTCGACGTGCAGGCTGAAATTGCGCAACACAACACAGTCGACTCCATGGCCCTTCCCGGGCCATTCCCAACACAAGCGGACTGCATTTGCAGTGAATATGCAGTTCCAGGAGTTCGGCTGGTGGGTCACTTCAATGGCAAAATTATCTAATCATTTGATAATGCCATGAGAACATGGACATACGGCCTAGTGCTTGGGATGATGCTGTTGATGGAGAGCTAGAAGAAAACTTGCAGCAAGAGGCATCCGGCCTTCATCCTGTCACTGACTCCGATGAGGAACTGATCTTGCTAGATTTAGATGCTGGTCCGGCTCAGTTGGGGCACGATGCCGACGGTGAGTTTCAGCAGTTGGAAGACTCCGCCCCGCCTGCTTCCGTTCCAGAAGATGTACTTGCTGACTCTTTACCTGCAGAGCATGTCGAAGTGCCAGGGTCATCATGGGATGATGCCCTTGGGGATGATAGGCTGGCTTTGGGTTCCCAAAGTGAGGATCCTGAGCCATCACGCAGTGATCTGCAGCAGTTGCGTGCTCGCAGCCGCGGCGGGCGTGGGCTTGTTGGTGGCCGAGCTGGTCGCAAGCCTGGAAGCCGTCTCATGCGTCAGCACTTGGCAGACCTTGAAGAACAGGAACGGCAGCAGCAAATGGCTGCCGTCCCTGCTGTGAGGCAGCTGGAGCGGGCTCGAGCTGCATCTGTCGTGAAGTACCGGCACTCCGCAGAGGCAAGACGGAACCCGACGCAATTTGGACTGTCTTCAGTGCTCTGTGAAAGAGGCAGCCCTGTGCAGCGGACACTGGCAGCTTCTTTGCAAGCCATCGTGCAGACACCAGCTCAATGGAAGGCAAGCCTCGAAGCCATCTCTGACCCCGCCAGGCCAACTAAACCTTTGGATCTGGTCCTAAACGGTGCAGGTCTCGCTTGCAGTGCAGCAGCGTTGGCCAACATCACCGGCACACGCAAGTACCAAGCTCAGAGGAGTTTGATACAGGCTGGGTCAGCGACGGTGGAGTCATCAGCTTTTCTGCTGGGTAGCATGCTCGACTCTTTGGGCAGTGAGCAGTCGCCTCTAGAGCCTTTTGTGTTGATTGTCAAGTACAAATATGACGAGACGCCTACAAAAGTGCGAGTGGCCACTGTGTCTGGCTCATGTGAAAGCGACGACAAGCATGCTATGCAAAATCTAATCGTGCCTAAGACTTGCGTCAAAGGCCCGGAGCTTCAGCACTTCTTGGCGAGCCAGGGATATGCAAGTCGAAGCAGCCGAAGCAGCACTACGATGCAATCTGCCACGCACGCGAAGATCCTGCAAACGCACTTCAGTGTCATCGCTCTTTACAAGGTCAAGCCGGTCAATCCCGAGGAGCAAGGACGCTTTGCTGTGGTACAAAGTGCTGTGCCGTGCAGCCTTCAGGCCATGGACAGGACGACGGGCGAGACACAGAGGAGAGCTGTTTGGGAGACACTCAGCTCCTTACCGGAGTTGAGCAGACTCCTGACAGCGTTCCCTCTTTGTATCCGCCAGTCGACCACAGATAGATTCACGGCGAACTATAGGACGGAGGCTGGATTGGGAGCGTGGCTCCCAGGTGTGCTGCTCTGCCATTTACCGTGCGATGCGCACAAGGCGGCCACGACAATCAAGAACTGCTTGAAACCCGTCCAATCAGACATATCAGGAGTCCTTAACACAGGACTCATGATGACATCGGATTTGGCCGTGGTCAAGAAGCTTCGAGACGTGTTCATCGCCGTCTTGTGCGCAGAGTTGCAAGTGCACACTGAAGCTGCCCCGGAGAATGCTGCCGAATGTGAACGCTATCGGCGTGAGTGCTTCGAGCTGTTCCTGCCCACGGAAGGGGTGCCCCCCGGGCAGGCAAAGTTGCATGCCAAGCGACAATTCATTTTGCGGCATTACTTTAACGGGGACCTGACCCACCCACGGGTCCAGCACCACTGCGTTCCTGGTTCAGGGTGTTGCCTTGGGCCCAACGAACGGTTGATGTCCATGTCGCATTTCTTGGCATGGTCGCTTGTGCCACACAAGTGCCCAGTCCTCAGCAGGAAGAACTGGATAAATCAACTGCCAGTTACCCGGTGGCTACTTTTCAGAACAATGTGTCCATAGTTTAATTAAGTTTAATTGTTTAATTTTATTTATAATAAGTTCTGTAGGAAAACTAAGACAGATTTTAAGGGGTTTCCAAGATTCCAAGAGCAACGCAAGGCTACGAGATGGATTGCAGTGTTGGAATGCCACCACAAAATGTACACAAGGCTGTTGTCAATCTATCTCGGCAAACCTTCGGTGGAGCCAGTGCATCAAGATGTTGAGGATCATGCACCTAGCCGCGATGCATGGTCTGACATGATACAGGATGAGGTCGGTGCAGGCCCAGCTCCAGCTGGTCAAGCAGCAGCTGCAGCTGCAGCAAGCAGCAACCTCAGCAGCAATCACCTTGATGCAGCCGGCAACGATGAGGTTGCTGACCCAGCAACTGCGTTCGCGTTGGAGAATGCCAGACGTCGTGCTAGTGTACACGAATATGTGCAGAGTGATCCCTTGCCCAGGCTTTGCATCATGCAACAAGTCCTGCAGCCAATCCATGATTACTTGACAGAGATGTTGGGGAGAAGTAGTGAGGCGTGGGAGCAGAAGCAGGCGGGCCTTGCTGCAGTGGGCAAGGAGAGAACTTACGTGATCCTGGAAGACGCGAAAGGTGAGGCGGTGGCCACCACGATGGTGAGGCTATTGGATGGCCTGCACCAGGATGCCCGAGGCTTCCTTGGCCCAGTTGCCTGTGCATTGCGAGCTTTGCTGTTTTGCATGTCTTCTGCCACGATGTGCTCCATGCATTCCTTGATTCGCCTTTGCCACCAAGCTCTGCCTTATCAGATGTTCCGTCTTTTAGACGACCCTGCTGCTGCTGACAGGCTGCTTGACCTTCCGTCATGCATGCACGACCAGGTGTTTTCAGAACTGAAGAAGAAATATCCTTCACCGGATCTTCTGTTGGGTGGAGAGGCGAGAGCGGTGATCACAACGCTGGCGTGGTCTGCCAGCACAAACATCGCCGATTTGGAGGCCTCTCACAACTCCACACGTGACTTCTCAATGATCCGGTCACGTGGCTGGACCTGCTCCTTAGAATCGGTCAGTGCACGGCACGTATTGCAACACAAGCTTGGTTTGCTGGGTGCAACAAACACCCGTGGCAAGCGTCTTGAAGCGGTCATGCTGAAGCGTTGCATGGCCTCTCTGCACTGCAAGCTTCCAGGGGCCAGCCAAAAGAAGTCGAAACGACGGCGTGGTGGTGGTGGAGCTTGGAGGGCCTTCGTGTCCCACCATGCTCATGGAAAAAAGCTCACAGCGACCCTGGCTTCCCATCTAAGCCAACTTTACCGAAACTTGGATGACGACCAGAAGGCATGGTTCGCAGAAGCAGGCAGAGCAGGTACACGAGCGCATGCCCATGGCCACAGGGCCTTTGGCGACCGTGCCCCTGTGCAGTCACTGCCTGGCGAGGCTTCCAGAGTCAATCCAGATGCCATTGTTGCTCGTGACGTGGAACGTCAGGACGATTTGAGCCTGGTCAGTTTGGGCTCCCCTTCTTTTGCTGAGCGATACGAGCAGTTCAAAGATTCTCTTCTATCGAAGCCAGCCCATGAGACTGATGCTTTGGCCCTCACCAAAGCAGAATCTGAAGCAGTGCAAGCGGTCGAGACAGATTTGTCCAAACTCCCTGGCAGGGATTTTTTGGACAGCGACGGCCATGCCGAGCTTTTGAACGCTTTCCAAGGCTATCCGAGCCATTCTTCGTCTGATCGACAAGACTCGGCCCCAACAGTGTTCTTCAAGTGGCTTGCTCCCAGCGAGAAGGTTGTGCAGGTGCCCTGCGAAACTTCGACTTTTGCAATGCTTTCTTTGTTTATGTTCGTGTGTTTTGTGGGGCAATAAGAGGCCTGGCAACTCCCAGAACCCAGAAGTCGGGAAAGCCCTGTACTGTACACTGTACACTAAACCCCAGTGTTCTGTATAGTATAGTATACTATACTAATGTACTCCTATATGTCCTATATATATATAGTAACTATAACTAATAACTAATAGTAGTAGCGAAGTAGAGCATAATAAATATAATATAATAAGTAAGTATAAGTATAACTTACCGTAGTAACGTAGTAGTAAGTTGTAGTATTAGTAGTAGTAGTAG